AGCAGCTCCTTACAGAGTACATGTTGGAGAGGTTGTTGAAAAGCTCTTGACCTGCGCCCACTTTGTTCCTCACTCCTCGTATGGTCCCATTCTTGCTGCAGATATTAATCCGTTGTTTGCTGAAGAGCCTCTCTCTCTTGGCACTGGCGTACAAAAGCAAGTCATCTGGTTCACAGCCGTTCTCATCCGCACTAGTTTCCACCACCAGACCGTTCAGATGGCGATTGGCCTCACTGGTGGGAGGCAGGCCCCCCTGCTTGGCCTCTGGACTGCTGCTGGTGCGTTCAGAGTCCACTGAGTCCGACACCGAGCCGCCCCAGGCCCTTTCATCCTTGAACACCTCCGCCAAGACCCGGCCGCTGTTGGCAGACGCCACTCTAAACCTCACTGTTTTCCCAGACCTTTCTTTCTCCTCTTTCACTTTTGGCCCCTCCATTGACAGTCCCATATGGGTCACATCCCATTCAGAAAAGCCACTCGTGCTCTTTCAGCCACAGCCATAGTAAAGTGCAATTATCAAACAATAAAATCCCCATTGACACGTCAAAATGGGCTGAACGAGTGCACAAACTAGACACCAAAATGGTTAATAATACATGAGCTTCTGCCATGGTAACAGCTAAAACAGGCACACAGTAAATTGATATTACCAGGTTCAATTATTTATCAAGGTTAGTTTTCAAACAGCAGGTAGACTACTCCTGTGACTGCTCTTTAATTCCAAGTGCCCTTAAAGGCCTACAGATAACCTTCTGCTGCAAACTCCATTACCCTCTGTCCCTGAAGTAAGAATCATGTATCAAACATCAACCAACTTTTTGTATACATTACATTATAGGATTATGGCTATAAGAAAATGTTTGCATGATAATGGTATTGATTTGTAGTGAGAGATGCTTTTCGGCACAATGGCATAATGAATAGAGCTTTGGCACTACAGTAGTTACAGTTAGCTAGGCTACATTCATAAGAAATGCATACAAATTTCAAAATCAAGGTTGTAATAAATAAACACAAAATGTCCCCTGTCCCCAAATATATAGTTTAGTGGGAATGCTGATAGAGCATTCCAACTACTTGTTGTGCTACGCACGAAATTCTTTATTATTATTCCGCCGGGTTATTTTGCGCCTCTTCTGCTCCCACATTCCACATCGCAGAAACTCTGTTCGAACATCAAAACGTTCAGCTCGGTCGTGAATCAATGGCTATTACTTTTCTTATTCATAACTTTCATAATTCCAGAGATACATCCCATAATTCATCACATTTTTAACATGGAAGTCAATGGAGAAACTCTTCAGACTTGAACAATCTTCATGCAACTTCAACTGCTAACTGCTCCTTCATACTTTCACTCAGAAACCTCATTCCAACTTTAAAATGTTAAACATCTTTCTGACATTATTCATGTAACACCACTTTTAAATCTGATTCTTACTTTTAGAGATATTAAACATTGTTCAGACCTTGGTAAAGAGGCCTTCTTCAGATTTAGAGTGCGTGATGTCACAGAGTGGAGGACAGATTGAAATTCGCCTTCATATTTATTTTTAAACCTGCCATAATTCCCAAACCCTACATTCCTAAGACATAATTTTTCATGAGAAACGTAGGAAAACATCTCATATCTTGAAATATAAAAAAAACGTAAGCAAAACAATTAAACAAAATGCCTCTTGAGGGCATGAAGTGACAAAAACTTTCAACATGTCTCCATTAAAACCCATTGTAATTTCAGGCTGATATTTCCTCACAGCAGCAGCCGCACACCTTTAGTTAAACTGCCAAAAAGGCCACATTATTAACCTGAAAGTACACAAAAATTACACTTCAGATACTCAACTTCCTTGACATGCTTCACGTTTTGAAATTTCACAGATATCTGTTATCGTTCTTCCACAAAACGTTCACATGTAAGAGGTTCATCTCACATTCAGAACAATGAAACCTTTGAAGTCTAGGCACCTCGTTAGCTCAACTATAAACACCTGTGCAATGGAATACGATGATGTCATCACTCCAACTGACATGCTCAGGGGCCTCATTTATAACGCCTTGCGTAGGATTGACGTAGGAAGGTTGCTTACGTAGTACAAAGCACAAAAATAGGTACATAAATTTTCCGCCATTTTCCGATTCACAAAACATTGCGTACCGGCGAGGGAAGTGCGTACGGCACTCCCTACGCCTGTTTCCCTTGATAAATCACAATCGACTCGTAACGCCCATATTTGCCTATACATAGTCAAAGAAACGCCCATTCATTCATTCATTTTTGACTGACTGCATGAAGAAGATCGCAGGAAATTACGATAGAACAGCTAAAAAAGACATCTCACACCGTGTCAGATTTTGGTTATTGTGGGGAGGTCGAGATAAATCATATTGTTTGGTGGATGCAGTTTGAACCAGAGTAGCAGCATGGAGGTCGGATCGTCACCAAAATAAATAAATAAGTGGTCCGAAAAAAGTTAATGACAAAACAAATACACATAACCTTCCTCAGGCAGTGTGTTTGTCCCGGGGACAGGAGACACCCCCTTGATGAGAAACTGTAAGAAATGATCGGGGAATCCCTCCGGAGTGGAGTCATGACGACTGGATCTGAATTATTTTTGTTGTATTTGGTGGTTTGTGTTCCAGCTGTCGATCAGCAACTATATATACATAATCCACCAGTTAAAGGAAATACAACTAATGGATTGTGTTATATTAGCTGTACAATTTACCACATATGGTGTTCTTAGTTTCCATACCTCCTGTGTTTTACGAGCGACTTATCAAGTCTTGGCAAACGGCATAAAACACGATTAAACGTGATAGTATATAAAACCATGCTCGTATCTACAACCTATAGAAATGCAAAACGGCGTCAGTTTAGACGTAATTCTGTCCTCCTGCTTACCGCATCATTTATGAGAAAACATTTCATAACATTAACACAACATATTCGAGGTGGTTTTAAATAGCATATCCGTATTTATTTATTTCTCCAAGTTATGTTTTTGTGTGCACTGAGGAGTCTCAAACAGGCGTTTGTTTAATCATTTTAAGATTGGCTTTAATCAATGTTTGAAAATGAATTCTTCATATTTGATAAATGAGAGGTAACATTTTATTTATGGTATTATTTCCACATATTTCTCTCCATTCTTCCTTCTGCCAACGGTGTCGCAGTTTCTCGTCTCTCCCGTTTGTGTGCTTAGTGCGTACGCATGGGTTAGAGTTTGCGTGGAGGACAGCACATTTTCCCGTCAAGTTAGTATTTTATAAATCGCAAACATTGCGTAGAAACTGGCGTACGCCATTTTTTGAGCGTATATCCCTTTATAAATGAGGCCCCAGAGCAGCAGACTTCAGATAATGGTTAATGGTCGTGCCCTCAACAGCTCTACGTCAATTATGGGGTGTCATCATATGCCGTTCAAGAGAAGAGAGAGAGGGCGATCAAGAGTCAGTTCTAACTGTTCATTTAATTCTCTCTCTCTCTCTCTCTCTCTCTCTCTCTCTCTCTCTCTCTCTCTCTCTCTCTCTCTCTCTCTCTCTATCTTCCTCTTCCTCAATATCTTCCTCTATCTTCCTCTTCTTCAATATCTTCCTCTATCTTCCTCTTCCTCAATATCTTCCTCTCTCTATCTTCCTCTTCCTCAATATCTTCCTCTCTCCATCTTCCTCTTCCTCAATATCTTCCTCTCTCCATCTTCCTCTTCCGCAATATCTTCCTCTCTCCATCTTCCTCTTCCTCAATATCTTCCTCTCTCCATCTTCCTCTTCCTCAATATCTTCCTGTTTTATGGCGAGGGATGCGTATCCCTCGCCATAAAACACGATGTCCCTTTAACTCATATGAAAATGTTCAAAAAGTGCTCAAACTTCACATGTGTGCTAACAGTCCAGCCGTGAAGACATCTACGGGACAGTTTTGAGATTTCTTAAAATGCAGTTGCCATGGCAACACAATGCTCGCCATGAAACACGGTTTTCTCATAACTTCAGTGAAAATGCTCCAAACGCCCCAAAACTTCACAGGTTTGGTAACGATGCAGCCATCAACGCATCTAAGCGTATTATGGGATGTCATCAAATGCCGTTGCCATGGCGACAGATCATTCGCCATCAAGTTAGTTCAAAAGTTTGCAGTTCAAATATTCTGCTGCTTTTCCAAGCCTTTTTACTTTCTTTTCTTCTCTCATCACACATTCAAGCCCCCAGTGTTCATGTATCATTTCAATCTAAATTCTTCACTTTCTTCTTACACATTACATTTCAGCATAGCAATTCAGCGTCAGCTTTTCAGCATAAAGCATTCCCACTAGCAATTTCTTCAGGAGTTGCATTCTCTAGTTTATGTTGCTATGCTACCAAGGGTGAGTAAACACCACCAGCCAAAAGATCATCACTTTATCAAATTATTATAGTAAAATAAACCTAGGAGATTGCCCTAATTGTTACTGTCATCATGTATTTTTTCTTTAAAAATTATGACTTTATTCTCAATGTAGTACATTTTTTCTCAAATTATTACCACTTCTCAGAAAATACAAATATGTGGGATATATTTTTAATATGCTGCTCAAAAGGAACCCATGGGATTGTTCTGCCTGGGGCACTGACACACTCTGATGCCTTCATCACGGCAGACAAGGAGAAGGTGTTCTTGCTTTGTCAAATTGTTGTAAAAATGTTAATAAATATAAATGCGGATGCAACTGTACTTATTGCATAACAAAATTATATTCTGATTGAATTCAAATGGCGTCATGTATTTTTATACTATGAAAGATTTCCTCAAATTGGATTTTTTTTGTATTGCACATTATTTATATTGTAGGCTACATATGCAGTAGTTTTCACATAATATATATAATTCACTCGACTACGCAGCAATATATGAACATAATACTCTAGGCCTATTATCTTTTTTAGAATCACAAACATGTAATTCCACTCCTGACCTGAGGATGGTAGTAAAGCTACTGATTAACCACCACCGAAGAAGCTGGAGGACCGCACGTGTAGTAGTCTAGTGTCAACATGGGGAAAAGAAACCAGAAACAGCAGCTATTCACAACTTTAACCAAGAAACAGAAGAAACACTTAAAGGAATTCGGAGAGGAGCATCCGTTTCATGATGTGTAAGCAGCACAGCAAAGTCCGGCTTGTCTTTAAGTATCAATTTAGCTACTTTTATGTTAGCCATATAGCTAAGTTGCACTCAGACACCTGTGTTAACAGTCAAGCCGTATACAGTAGGTAATGTTCGCTAAATGTTATAATGGTGGTATTATTAAAAAACATATGACGAATATTTTTCGAAGGAGTACGTAATTTTAACGATATACCCGATATTTGATGCGTTAAGGGTGGTTGACAAGTCAAATAAAAGTTAAATAGCTCATGTGTGCTAATATTAGATGTATGCTAATGTGTGTACTGTAGATATATCCATTTATTACAACAATGGCTTCAAGAACCAACCACAAGAATATTAACTGCACTATTTTACCTACACAAAAGCCTTTGACCACATGGATGAATTACTCTGTACAGACATTGGATAATAGATTTCATTGGGTTAACAACTCGTAGTTGATTTATAGATTTATTTTTATGTCAGTGATGGTTGAGGCATATAAGTTTCCTAACGTGTGTGTTCCGGTAACCTGTCTTTTTGTCCCTAAAATTCTAGACATAGCCTTCCTTCACACTTTCTTCACCATGCTATTGTCTCCATCCAGAGTTTTTGGTCAAGTCCTTTGCTTTATCTATAAATATTGTAACACCAACATGTTATGGTCTAATGTTATCTAGTCAAGTGTGCGGTCAAAAAAATAAATGCTTGTGTTTTAAGAAAGTGACTCAATTTGTGTTTTTATACAGAGTCGGTGCAAGACCTGAAAGAACTGAGATATTGGAACTGGTGAGTAGCTTTGATGCCCAACCTATGCTACGTCAGATTGATGATTGCACAGATGGCAAACCTTTCCGGGGGACCTCCATGGGACCTTATTTCGGAAAAAGTATGTATTGAAGTCAATGATGAATGAGAGAAAGATTATCTTTCGATCCCGTTTGAATTGTGCCACGAATTACACATATGATGTTTGTCAATTTAAAAGATAATTTTGCAAAAAAATAAAAATGTGTCGTAAAACTGAAGTAACACTTTTTTTGTGTGAAACCGCTCAATGAACTACATCTCCGTCTCGCACCACACACCAACGACAAACTGACTTTTTTGACATCGAAATTATTTTTTAAGATTGACAAACATCATATGTGTAATTCGTGGCACAATTCAAGGCAAGGCAAGGCAAGTTTATTTATATAGCACCTTTCAACACAAGGTAATTCAAAGTGCTTTACAAAAATGGAAGACATTTTAAAAATGGCATTTAAAATCAGTCATTAAAAAGGAAAGATAATAAAATAAACATTAAAAGAAAAAATACATGGATAAAAGTTAAAAGTTACAGTGCAGTTTAAGATGTGAATAGTTCAATTAAAAGCAGCGGCAAAAAGAAAAGTCTTCAGCCTGGATTTAAAAGTAGTAAGAGTTGCAGCGGACCTGCAGGTTTCTGGGAGTTTGTTCCAGATATTCGGAGCATAATAACTGAATGCTGCTTTACCATGTTTAGTTCTGACTCTGGGGACAGAAAGCTGACCAGTCCCTGAAGACCTGAGGGTTCTGGATGGTTCATAATTTAGCAGTAGGTCAGACATGTATTTTGGGCCTAAACCATTCAAAGCTTTATAAACCAGCAACAATATTTTGAAATCTATTCTTTGACACACAGGAAGCCAGTGTAAAGACTTCAGAACAGGAGTGATGTGATCCACTTTCTTAGTGTTAGTGAGGACTCGAGCAGCGGCGTTCTGAATTAGCTGCAGCTTTCTAATAGAATTTTTAGTGAGGCCTGTAAAGACACCATTGCAGTAGTCGAGTCTACTGAAGATAAAAGCATGGACAAGTTTTTCCAAATCCTGCTGTGACATTAGTCCTTTAATCCTAGATATGTTCTTTAGGTGATAGTAGGCTGATTTAGTAACTGTTTTAATGTGACTGTTGAAACTCAGGTCAGAGTCCATGACTACACCTAGATTTCTGGCTTTATCTGTTGTTTTGAACATTGCAGACTGAAGCTCAGCGCTAACTTTTATACGTTCTGCCTTGGCTCCAAAAACCATTACCTCAGTTTTATCTTTGTTTAATTGGAGAAAGTTCTGACACATCCAGTCATTGATTTGTTCAATGCACTTACTCAGTGTTTGAATTGGAGCATAATCTCCTGGTGAAATTGTTACGTAAATTTGTGTGTCATCCGCATAGCTATGGTAACTTATTTTGTTCTTTTTCATTATCTGAGCCAGTGGTAGCATGTAGATGTTAAAGAGAAGAGGCCCCAAGATGGAGCCTTGAGGTACCCCACATGTCATATTTGTCAACTCAGATGTGTATTTACCTATAGAAATAAAGCTTTTTCTGTCCTTTAAGTAGGACTCAAACCAATTTAGAACTGTTGCCGAAAGTCCCACCCAGTTTTCTAGTCTAGTCAAACGGGATCGAAAGATAATCTTTCTCTCTCCATTGACTTCAATACATAATTTTTCCGAAATAAGGTCCCATGGGTCGGGAAGTAGATGGGCGTGACTTCGCCTCTCTATAGCAAGGATCTCCCGTCTGAAATATCTGAAATAAATTGTGGACCACCCAGTCAGATACACTCCAGTTTAGTTATTTTGTACCTATACCAAAATGAATATACACATTAAAAGGTGTTCTCTCCGCACCTCTGTTAAAGCCAGCCAGTCCAGAACATTCAGATGTTGAGCCTGATGAGTTGGAGGATAAGAATGAGGAAGAGGAGCCCGAGCAGAAATCAGCCTATCAGAAGCTTCTTTCAACTCTAAGCAAAGCCACCAGTAATGACCAGAGTGAAGAGGAGAGCACCGATGAAGAGGAGGAGGAAGAAGAGCTTCTTGGTGAAGGTGAGTTTTTTTTTTTTCAGCACACTGAGGACAGGAGCTGCATTGATCAGTTGACTAATGGATTAATTTAGTATAAAGACAGATAAATAATCAACCACTGTTTTGATAATTGATTAGCCTTTAATGGAAAAATGCAGTTTTCATATATATATTTTAGGGATGCTCCGATCGATCGGTCACCGATCGAGATCGGCCGATACTCACTCTCTACCGATCGATCGGTGCTCTCTAAACATGCCGATCGCGAGAGCTGATCGCATGATGTAAAATACATGACACTTTTCTCTGTGCGCGGCAAAACAAGCTCGCCAAAATGGCTTCACCAGTCTGGCAGTATTTTAAGGTGTCCGAAAATGACAATAAAATAGCGATATGCAACGTGTGTGTGAAGCAGAAATCCTGCAGCTCCGCCCGCTGTGACGGACCGGTGAGCGGAGCGAAACACACAAGAGTTAGACCTAACACACTTAGCTATTTTATCTACCTCTGGAACAAGCTAAACTAGTTATAAATATATTTATTCTTCACTGTCGGGTCACTCATTACTGGATCAGTGAGCTGCATGAGATACTGACAGGCTGTCAGGGGAGGGAGGGGGGGGGGGGGGGGGGAGAGAGGAAAAGAGAGCGCTTCCGCTCATTTCTCCCGTGTTATTATCCAAAGTGAATGTAAACTTGAATAATGTACATCATTTGAATGTTATAATTAAGTTGACTGTTGTTTGTGGAAGCTCCAGTGAATGAGCCCCATTAACTGAGTTTTAAACATCACTTTAAATGGAAGATTTAAAGTGATGTTTAAATCTTCCATTTAGGCCTGCCCACTCGATCGGATCGGCGATCGGTATCGGCCGATACTGATTCCGGCGATCGGTGATCGGCCCCAAAATTGGCGATTGGAGCATCCCTAATATATATATATATATACATATACATACGTCGCTTAATCCAGATTGTAAATAATCATTGGTTGCACCCTCACTGAGGACGCTATAGGGCAGGGGTCGGCAACAGGCGGACCGCGGTCCGGATCCGGACCCAGACGCCGACCTATACGGACCCGGACCTATAATCAATACATTAATAGGGGATTTCAATTTTGACGGGGCGATTCTATTTTAACCGCCGCCGACAGGGGGCGAAAGAGACGAGTGAGCGATACAGGGAGAGAAACACAGAAGAAGAGATGAGAGCGCGGCAGAGAGAAGCGGAGAGGAAAGTGAGTGAAGAGAATAATTAGCGATACAGGGAGAGAAGCGGAGAGGAGAGTGAACAGGCGTGTTAGCGGCAGACAGGGAGAGACAAATAATTACACATGGCGCTCTCCAAGAAGAGGAAAGTGGACAGTGAGAACAGAGCTTTTAAGTGGATGGACTCATTCATGTTCATCCTGCCCACTGGGAGCACAGAGCCAGTGTGTCTCATTTGTTCAGAGACCGTGGCGCTCATTAAAAGTTCCAAAACGCCACTATGAGACAAAACACAAAGTGTTTGACCAAACATTCCTTCTCAAGTCAGAACTGAGGTCACAAAAAATAAGCAGTCTCAGAGCCCGATATGATCAGTCCACCAGGATCAAAATGAAAACTAAATATCGTTCCAGGGCAGGCTAACCGAGGCTAACCAATGAGCACCTGCATGTGTGTATGAGAATGGCCCTGACACCATTTCAGCCCAGATTTACAAACTCCTGGCAGGACAAGCTCAAGCTCAATTCTCGCACTGAATAAAAAAAAGTGAGTGAGGGACTGCAATATAAGAGGGAAAGAAAGAGAAACTTTAAAACTGTTCAATTGTTATGTGTAAAGCAGTGTTAATTTCGTCAACGAAAACTATGACGAAAAATGTTCGTCAACGACCTTTTTTACATGACTAAGACGAGACGATGACGAGCTAAAAATAGATTCTTGATAACGAAAATTTGACGAAATGTATATTTAGTTTTCGTTGACGAGACGAGACGGGACTAAGGTGTTAATGGTGGACTAGCGGACATTTAAAATGCAGGGTATTTCCCCCCAAGTGTCCGTCTTGTCTGTCAAAATGCATCTTACATTTCTAACTTGCAATATCATTATTTCCGCTCTCTTCACTCCAGAAGAGCGATCTCCCTCTCTCTCTGTGTGTGGGGGCGGGGCCTAACAGACACGCTGCAGCGGCAGAGATCTGCCGGGGACGGAGCGTTCAGAGAGTATAGAGACACTCTACAAGACTCGATGTGGACAAAGCTCGTTTGCCATGTTTTCGCGTTAGCGCGTTGACACGAGTAGAGTAGTCTGTCCAAACAGCCGGCCAAAAGGCGTCATATTCAGTCGGAGAAATGCACAATTTTCGACTTCCTTAACTCGTAGCTCTGTTGCCCCAATTACGAGTAACGTTATCACATCAGGTGTGCAGAGGTGGGAGAAGTACTCAGATCTTGTAGCTAAGTAAAAAAATACCATAGTGTAGGAAGAGTTCCTCAAGTCAAAGTATGATCATCAAAATATATTTAAAGTAGCGACAGTAAAAGTAGTCGTTGTGCAGATTGGTCCATTTCAGAATAATATGATATGTTTTATAATGATTGATCATTAAAGTGTTCTCAAAGCTGGTAAAGGTGCAGCTAGTTTGAATGATATATTATATATCTGTATACTGCAGGGTAGCTTGTGAATTTACTAAAGTCTGAGTTAACACTTGATTATATTTCACATCATTCATCCACATCTGTAAAGTAACTAAAGGTATTAAATACATGTAGTGGAGTAGAAGTACACCATTTAACTATGAACTGTAGTGGAGTAGAAGTACACAGAAGCAAAACATTTAAATACTCCAGTAAAGTACAAGTACCTCAACATTTTACTCAAGTACAGTACAATATTTTAACATAATTATATATATTTCATTTATTTCACATTTTAAATAAAGCAATTAATTCGGTTAACAATTTGTTAGTTTTTTCCTTTAAAAAATAACAAAAAGTAAATACAAGAATACCGTTAAAGTACCGGATCGATAAGCAGTTTCGATAAGACTAGTAGTACTGTTAAAAACCTTAGCGATACCCATCCCTAGATATTACACAAGTAAAGTGTTAAGAGAGTGAAATGTTGCTTTACGAATTTCAACACTTGATGCTGTCACCTTGATTACAATTTCAGATTCCTGTATTTGCCTAACTGAATTGGTTTAAAGAGAGAAAACATTTTGACTAAAAGTTGACTAAAATTTAATTTTTCATCGACTAAAAGTTGACTAAAACGTTTTGAGTTTTCGTCGACTAAAACTAGACTAAAACTATGAAGGATAGAAATGACTAAAATGTGACTAAAACTAATAACCATTTTCGTCTAAAGACTAAGACTAAATCAAAAACAGCTGCCAAAATTAACACTGGTGTAAAGACTGATATTGTTCTATAATTGTCTGAAACTGTTAAGTCATGATGTGAAACGGTTAACAAAGGGAAACTCAAGCTGCTGCTACACTTTATTTTATTTATCTAAAATTAAGCACTATTAAGATGCACATATTTTCAAAAGCTATTTTATTTATTTTCTCTATTTTATTTTTAAATGTAGCCCGAGAGGAACATTACACATATCCACAGTATTTACTGTATATCTGGATCAGTTCAATGTTAATTGACAATAAATATTGTTGTTTTTGAATTGTACTCTTTTTATTTGATTGGCAGTCAGTTGTTGATTACATGCAGCTACTTCAATATATATCACACTAATTCATAAAGCAAGCTAGACATTTTGATGTTCCGGACCTTTGCATGGGGAGATTTTCTCTAACTGGACCTCGTTGAATTTTAGTTGAATACCCCTGCTATAGGCCAACATGCTGCAGCTGTCTGAATACTGTTTTGCTCCAAATCGTAGTGGACAGTGATGGAGTTGATGATGACAGTGAGCATGATGAAGGAGGTGAGGAAGAACCTGAGGATGCAGATGAGGCTCTGACTGAAGCGCTGGAAGGAGAGGAGATGAAGGAGGCAGGAGATGAGTTTGAAGACAAGGAACATGAAACTCAGTTCTGTCTGGAGACCAACTTCACAGAGGACGGAGGACAAGAGGACGCTGACAGCGATGCAGAGCAAGATGACAGCAAGGGTAGGAAAAAGATTCATAGCAATTAATAGTTATGTCAAATATGTCATCCTACATTCCCTGTCTGGATGCATGTTATGTCATCCTTTGTATTTCCAAAATAAGTGTACTCCCTGCTTTATAAAAAAGGTTAAGGAATATTAAACCCAAAAAATCCTTTTAATGTGGCTTTTAATTGAATTGTATTTATTTGTATTTTATTCTTAATGTATTATTCTGATCTTGTTTTTGTCAGCCCTGTGTTTATGACTTCTGTTGGTATTGAGTGTTTTTAATCACACAGTTATGTGTTACTCTGTGTATTGTATAGGAAAGGGGGTTTTGTTTTTTATAGTTTTGTTGTTTCTTTTCAATTTTGTTTATTGGGTTTGTGAAGCGCTTTCAATGATGTTTCTGTTTATACAGACATATTTGTGCAGCATTTGAACACAGAGCTTAGTGAAGACGATGTGCAGAAGATGACGACTGGCAGCAAAACTAAGGCTCAGATTACGGTATGAAATGCACAATTCTTCAAGATCAACCACCTTTTTATTAAAGTCAATTCTAACTACAGTTGATGTGTTTTACTTTCTGCGTTTCCCCCTACATTTAGTGGCCAAAACTGGGCTCTTTACTTTGCACCAATCCCTTGGAGAAATTTGGACCCATCGGCCCCCACAGAGACACAAACCTGCCAGTGTTCCACAGGGTTCTGGAGAGCCACTGGAGGGATCTGAACAAGATCTCCAACTTTAAGGGGGTGTCGGAGGAGATCAGCCCACTGCAGCAAGAGCTGCTGTCTCTGATGGGCTCCTACAAGGACTTCTACTTCCCAGAGATGTGTCCTGTGAACCAGGGCCCACAGGTCTGCAGCACATACTGCCTCCACGTGCTCAACCACGTGCTGAAGGCCAACTCCAGAGTCCTGGCCCACAACGCGCTGCTGAGGGAGCAGAAGACCCAGAACAGAGCTGGAGCTGAGCCAAAGGACGAACCCAGAGACCAGGGACTGACCCGGCCCAAGGTGAAGTCCTGGATACATTAGGATTGGCTTCTCAACGGAGCTCCATTTAACTTTTTTTAACTCTCACAAAACTGTGTAATTTTAGGGTATTTTGTGCCTGTTTTAGTCTCAAATACCAAGAGTACTGTATTAGTAATACATTGCTAATTTCCTCTCTGGTTTTCAGGCTGAATCACATTTTATACTTTTTTTTTACAGTGTTTGCAGTAGTACACAGTGTTGGGTGTAACGCGTTACAAAAGTAACGGAGTTACAGCAATGTATTGCTTTTTGCTGTAACGTAGTAATGTAACCCATTACTAATGAATTTTGGGTAATATACTACCCGTTACAATTCTCAGTAACGCAGTCACAACACATTTTAACTTGAAATTAAATGGTGTTTTGTTTTTTAAGAATTTACCAACATCGCGAGACACTCCGACACCAGAGAAAACTTGTGCGGGTAGATTAGTAAGCCTGGTGTTTACCCTTCAGGTTCATCAAGATCCCTCCGCTTCGCGTCGGGTGTTCTTTTCCCCACAATGACCGCCTCGCTGCACATTATCCCGCTTATTACACGGCCATATACTAAACAAACAACAGAGCCCATTCCGTGTTCCTGTTATTGTTTACTTCCTCTCTGCCTTCTGGTGATTTATCTGACGTCCAGCGCTCCGTTTTTTAACCTCTTTTCCTTTCTCTTTCTTGATCCTCCTTAGCAACCTTCATTATAGTCCTTGACAGTGGTCTGTACTACTGTATTAACAACGTGTCACATGTTAAGAATTTACAATCAGAATCGAGTATTCAACTAAGCCGTGTAATAAAAGTTGTTAGTAGCCTTAATGGCCTACACAGTTGTTATGCTATACCACATTGCCCTTCACTGGATGTATAATGAGCTGCACTAAACTACATTTTAGCATTTAAAATACCTAGCCATTCTTTTGCGGTTATTTTGGTAAAGTAACTCAAAAGTAATATAAAAGTAGTGTAACTCATTACATTTCAGAGACAGTAATATTATAATGTAACTTATTATTTAAAAAAGACAGTAATATGTACTGTTTTACATTTTGGAAGTAACTTGCCCAACACCGAGTACACATTTGTGTAGAGGGGTGCCATGCCTTAGATGTAAGGGGGATTATGTTGTTACACATTGTAAAACTTTCATTAAAAGTTTAAAAACATAGAAATCATTATGGAAATCATTCATTTCACTTCTCCCAGCCTGTCAGCGAAATGGAGTGAATCACATTTCCCCTTGAACAGCATACAATTCACAAATAATATATGTGTTATATGAAATGCAAAATGCATCAGTATCAGTCACTCCCTGATTGTTAGATTTAAAAAACAGTTTATTCGGTGATGCTCCAGCCTATACTTACGCAGCAGTATGGATTATTGGACACCCACAGTGACATTAATGTCCTCTGCTATCATCGTCTTTCTAAATTATTCCACAATATTACATTTTCCAGCTCTGATTTTGATGATGTTCTGATTATTCCAGGCCCTGATCCTGGTCCCGTTCCGCGCCGGAGCTATGCGAGTCGTCCAGACGCTCATCGGCCTGCTGGAGTCCAAAGGCAAAAAGATCGTGGTGAGCAACAAGAAGAGGTTCAAAGATGAGTTCGGAGAGGAGGAAGATGAAAATCCGTCCAATCTGCAGAGACCAGACGATTACCGCACCATCTTCTCGGGCAACGTGGACGATCACTTCAGGATAGGTACAGTTTAGTAAACCTGAATCAACATACTCTTGGATATCCTCCCTGAGTCTTTCTGTCTTAATCTTGTTGTTGTCCTCTTTCTTGAACAGGCATCTCCATCGTGAGGAACAGCATACGTCTGTACGCCCCCTTTTACTCCTCCGACATCATCATTGCGTCTCCGCTGGGCCTCCGCACAGTGCTGGGAGCAGAAGGAGAAAGTAAGAGAGACTTTGACTTCCTCTCCTCCATCGAGATGCTGGTGGTGGACCAGGCGGACGTCTTACTCATGCAGAACTGGGAACACGTGTTGGTGAGAATATCACCTGCTTGCAACGCTACACATAGCTGCGTTATGACATCAACTGTTTGTTTTTTTTTGTTGGGAAGGATGTGACGCCATCTGCTGTTCATTTGAGAATTGGATTAATCACAACATATTGAAATGTTGCATTTAACTCTAAAGGCCAATCAGACTTTCAGCATGTTTTTGTGAAAGTATTTTTGGATTCTGATTTGTAAAAGTCACTATTGAAAACTTGGTTGTAATGAAAAATAAATGTATGGCTTAAGGGAAAGTAGTGCACCTTTTTTATGTGATTTTTTTTAGTAAATGTTAAAGGTTATTGTAGTCCATTGAAGAAATTAGTTTAAAAAAAGCTTAGTTCTACTGCTCGTGGAGCCATGCTGCATTGCCTTCATGTACCAGGATGCATTGTGCTCAAGCTTCTGACACCCAGCCCTTACACTGTGGGTATACTTATAAAGTTGTGGTTTCCTAGTGCAATCAAGCGTGAACTAAGATGGCAACAACTCTATTTTCAACATTGTCAAAGACAGTGCATTGCAGCTTTGCTCCTTCTGTTTTTAACTCTAATACTAAAAGCCCCACCTAAACTCACTCAGCATTTGACCAAGAGCCAACTCAACCAAAACATACTATTGCATTAGGTGAAAAAACGATTTACTCAAAGAAAATCTGCCCCCAAAGCCATGCTGTTATGGTCATCCTCTTAGAAAGTGATACATTGATGTCTCATTCCAGTGTTTCCCACAGATCTGAAATATACTTGTGGTGGTAGCCGGGCACGAGGGGGGAGAAAGAAAGAAACGTCTTCTGTGTTTCTCGTAAGGTCTCCCTTTCTGTTGGTCGCTTGTTAGCGGACCCTTCACGCGATAGCAGAGCGAACAGGTACAGGAGGCGTAGAGCGAGGGATCATTGTCCACTAGTTAATCGATCGCAGATGGCGTCTACGGATAACAAAAAACAAAAAAAAACTAAATGGGTCGGGAAATATACTTTGGCGGGTTTGTGGGAAACCCTGCATTCAACTAATGACACAATCCGTCTCTCTACAGCATGTGATGCAGCACATTAACCTGCAGCCGCTGGACCCTCATGGAGTGGACTTCTCCAGGGTGAGGATGTGGAACCTGAACAACTGGGCCCGGCACTACCGGCAGACAATGGTGTTCAGCTCCATCCAGGACCCTCAGATCAACAACATCCTCACCAAGCAGTGCGCCAACTACCGCGGACAGGTACGTCATACAGTTAGCATTACACCACTTTGTGGCACACGCAGTTATTTAAATAAGGAAGGCTTTTGACACTGTTGACCACCAAGTGCTCCTTACAAAGCTGACGTATTTCAATTTTTCGGCAGATTCAATACAGTGGGTTAAATCTTACTTATCAAACAGAAAACAGTGTGTTTTGGTCAACGGTACCAAATCCCCCTACCTTGTAAACCCTGTTGGGGTTCTACAAGGTTCCATTCTTGGACCATTACTGTTTTCTCTGTACATTAATGACTTGCCTAATGTATGTCCTGATTTGAATGTATAAATGTATGCCGATGATGCGGTCATCTTTGTACACGGGAAAAATACTGAAATAATCACATCCTGTCTCTCAAATGCATTGGACAAGGTTCAACACTGGCTGAACAACATTTGCTTACAGTTAAATGCAAAAAAAACAGTATGCATGATGTTCAGTAAACGACCAGTCAAAATGGAAGGATCCAATGTGTTTTTAAACGGAGCAGAATTAGAATTAGTCCCACACTTCAAGTATCTTGGAGTCATACTGGACTCGAACTTGACTTTTAAGAAACATATCAAGAAAGTATCCAATACCGTTAAATTCAACTTTCAAAATGTTAAACAAATTAGACCTTTAACTGTCAATGCTGCAAAGTCATACCTCCACTGTATGATTCTTTCCCACATTGAATACTGTTTTACAAACTGGTCGTTTGCTTGTGCCACAAACCTGAAACCCATAGAACAGCTGTACAAGAGAGCTATCAAGGTGTTTGACAGAAAGCCTTATTCATACCACCACTGTACCATCCTTGAGAAACACCATTTCTTGAGTTTTGACCATTTTAAGTCTTTTAAAAGTATGTGTTTTATTTATAAATGTTTACATGGACTGGCCCCCCCCCTCCCTTAGGGGAATTCATCCACAAAAAACACACTGGACGCTGCACTAGGTCAGAAACCAGAGGAGACTGAAGTCCACCGTAGACGGATCACTTTTGGACAAAATGTTCTATCAATTAAAGGCAGCTCTTTGTGGAATAGCCTCCCAACTGAGTTACGGGATTGTCCCACTTTGAACAGTTTTAAAGGTCAACTAAGGCCCCGGCTCCACGGGAACGCATACGGCAAAACGCATCGGAGTAACGCAAACGCAAACGCAAAAAAGCTTCCGCCCACACGCAATATACACCGGATTGTGTCAAGCTCCACGAGACGGCTCCGTTTACATCCAACCGCTGGAAAAGCTGCAGTACATATGCCGAGCCTGTACGTGGAGCTGTAACTTCCTCCACAAAAGCAGCGAAGAAGAATGGTTGTCATGAATGCACTTTTGTTTATTCTCCGCGGTGGGGGCCGAGGGATCCGGGCAGAGTTTTTCGCCGGTCAACGTGTGTTAAAGTTTAAATCTTCCGGACAAAATTATAAAAGTGCCGGTCAAAGGTCTTCATTGTTATTTATTGAGCTTTAAAACAAATGAATAACGACGATATAATGATATATAATAATAAAATACACAGAGCCTGTCTCTTTTTCCTCTCTTCTGACAGCGTCAGTGTCTGTCTCATGCAGCAGCTGATCCAGTAATGATGACTCGACAGTAAAAATGAACATATTTATAACTAGTTTAGGTAGTTTGAGAGGTAATTAAAATAGCTAAGGGTGATGATCTGACTTGAAGTGTGTGTTTTGCTCCCGCTGCATCACAGCGGGAGGAGCTGCGTGTCTCCGTCCTGTCAGATTAGACTTCACTCGCGTTTATGTCCATATCGAGATAAAGATAAATAATCTGAATTCAGTGTACAGTGTACTTTTGCGGGGGTGAGCAGCAGAGGTGGGGAGAGGATATTGCGTCGTCATTATCAGAAACGGATGACCGTATAGGCTACCACACGGCCCCGTTGGACCCCCCAGAGCGCTCCGTTCCCAGATCTATCCACCTTTGGACCCGTTGTCGTTTGCAGGGTCCGTTTCTACGTTTCCGTTACGGCGTCGTCTAGCTTAAAGGGCTATACGCATGAGAAATATGTGGATTCAACCCGTTTTCGTTCCCGTGGAGCCTAGGCCTAAAAGAATGGTTGAGAAACAAACAAACGTGCAATCACCGCTAGATGCACTTCAATACAGGGGTATCTCCTCCTGCACTTTATGTAGCCCTTTTATCTTCTCCTGCACTTTATATGTCGTTGCTGCTACATTGTACTGCCATGTGGTAAATGCTTATATGCTGCTCATGCTCTTTCTGCATATCATTTATTTTGCTATGTATATAAATGTCATGTTCTTAAAGGTGGGGTATGTAAGTTTGAGAAACCGGCTCGAGATACACTTTTTGTTATATTCCATGGAATGCTCTTAACATCCCGATAGCAATGAATATCTTAAGTGCTTTGACAAAAAATCCATTAAAAAATTTCATCTGTGGAAGCCGTAGTACTGTAAAAAGTACGACCAATCATTTTAGCAGGCCCGGCTAAAATAACTGGATGGCCTACCTGCCTGTCAGCCTTCCATCTGTGCACAAACTTATCTCGTGCCCTCATTGGTCATGTGCGCGTTCGTGTGTGTTGGACGGGCTCTATAAGGAAGTGGCAGATTTTCTCCGGTTGTGTATTTTCACAAACTTACCTACCCTACCTTTAAATGTTGTATGTGAGGGACTACGGATGGAAACTAGCTCAAAGCTAAAATCCGGCATGTTTACGTTTTTAAAGCATTATTTTTTTTAAATGTTCATCAATGTGCACTGTCCCTCGTCAAATAAACGATTAAATGAAAATGAAAAAGAAATCAACAAATTGTCACAAGGCAGAAGTGATCTTATAAACCGTTTTCCTATTTAAACTAGAGATATTTTTTTCCCACACATTCAAAAACACGTTGTCAAAACAACCCTATTACTTTAGTCATCTGGATATCTGAAGAAATCCCTGGTTTCTGCACTGCAATTCGATTATGTTGGTTATTTTAAAGTTGATTTCCCTATTTTTTTTAACTCACAGATTGCGACCAAGAACATGCCGGAAACTGGCTCCATCTGCCAGGTGATGGTTCAGCTGCCTCACGTGTTCCAGATGTTCCCCTCCGACAGCTTCATCGACCATGATGCACGGTAAGCTGGTCAATCACCTAATGCCATCATCGCCTGACCAAGTGTGGTCTCTATGAGATAGACCAGGTTTTTTTATATGCTTCACGGTAAATATCATGTGGCCATTGATTCATTGAGCAACACCGTAGACTACCACTTTTACCCAGTAAACGTATGACAATTAGCAGCTCTTGTTTGCAGTGTATCCATGGTTAAACAGACAGAAACAAAACGTACCTCCTAAGTTAAGATATAGATTTGTGCGATATTGATCATATCCTAGACCCAATATATTTTTTTACGAAATACCTCTATATGGATATTGCAACAATATTGTAGGGTTGGTGCTTTTTGCAATGAGGTTTTCGATAAATAATCATCAGTAATGTGAATATAAGGACTTTGTGGGTAATACCAGATAAAAAAGGAAGGAAAAACAACTCTTGTGACATATTGCATTATCTTAAATGTAACACACATTAAGAGTCAGACCAAAATGTCATTAATATGTTTGATTTATTGCCAGGCACTAGCGAGATAAACTATCATTTTACTGTAAATGTTCAGCTCCTTTATTTGAGCACATCTTTTGGTCTGAGATTATGAGATTTAAATCTGACAATCGCTCGGTTCATCCGAACAAAATGTAAAGCTCTTCTTTTATTCCCGCTGTTCCCCACCCTGCCCGTAGGTTTCAGTTCTTTTTAGATAAAGTGCTGCCTCAGTACAGGGACTCTGTTATGTCCCACACGCTGATCTACGTCCCGTCTTACTTTGACTACGTCCGGTTGCGCAACCACATGAAGAAAGAGGAGATAAACTTCGCCAGCATCTGCGAGTACTCCAGCAAGTCGGAGGTGTCGCGAGCCCGACACTTCTTCCAGAAAGGAGATCATCAGTTCCTGCTCTTCACTGAACGCTTCCACTTCTACAAGAGGTCAGCTCTTTTTATAAACTGATAACAATAAGTGTACTGATGAGAGTGAGCATATACAAACAGCACTTGGGACTGCCGGCGATATCTTTTGATGGATACATGATAGTTGCTAAGCAATGAAGATGCACACTTATCTTTAGTTTTTAAGTTATTGCACATAAAACATTTGAAAAAGGTCAAAGTGACCGCTCTAGTGTCAAAGACTGTTAACTTTATTACTGTTGATAAGAGTAAACATCACTTGTTGCCCTAACAAATGAATAACAGATGTCATTCCTTTTAAAGAGTTCAGGGACCTCTTACTTCACTTTGTATGTGTGGAGTTCAATCTAATCATATCTGGTTTACTCGTGTCATTTGGAAATGACCGTCACTGTCTTTTGTTTCTTTAATGTAGTCAATTGTTATTAAAAACACTAATATGTTTTTTAATGACACAAATTAACATTGTAATTCTGTTGTTCTTCATATGTTTCTGAAGGTATTCTGATAGAATCATGATTTGACTAGGTGTTGTAACACTCCTGGAGATTTCCTGTGTATCTGAAGGCCTTATTATAGAAATCCTTTTCTTTCTTAAAGAGGCCCTCTTATGCTCCATAATCAGAAATGATTGCTGCCTACAGTTGGAAAGTACTAAAAAAGTGTTATATAAATATCTTTGAAGAACTGTAATTGAATACCTGTTACACAGACATAACAGACAGTCTGTGATATGAAACATGTTTTAAATGTAACGTTTAAACTCTGCTTTCTCCATTTTTTTTTAATTTAGGTATACCATCAAAGGGATCCAGAACCTGATATTTTATGGCTTGCCCTCCTACCCGCACTTCTACAGCGAGGTGTGTAACATGCTGGCAGCGGGGGGTCGGGGGGAGGAGGCCAGCTGGACCTGCACCGCCCTCTACTCCCGCTACGATGCCCACAAGTTAGCTGCCATCTCTGGAGTGCAGCGAGCCGGACAGATGCTGCACTCCAACAAGACTGTTCACCTCTTTGTTACAGGAGGGGAGGATAACGCCTCCTGATGGAGAGGGACACATTCAAGAGAGACACTTCATAAAACCAAGGGAGATATCTGCTGTCGCCCGTTACAGCAGGAGGATCTGTTGTTGGATGAAAGTGGCCTTGTGACACATCAGTCTTGAAAATGTGGATAAACACCAGATTAAAACATAATTATGGGTTTGGTTAATGTGTCGTAGATGGAAGCCATCCAGAGATATTGGTCACAAAATGAAGAGATCATAAAAAATAGTCAAACTGTGTTATAAAGCTCCTAGGTGATCAGGCTGTTGAAATGTTGAATGAATGAGTATTTCCAGTTTATATACATACATTTTTCTTCCCTTTTTAATTGTTAAAAGTTCATATTTGTAGCAATACCTGTCCTGATTCACTATGGTTGTAACAATGATGGCAAACCCAATATAAAAGCTTTTCAAATTAAAGCTGGGGTACGCAGCTTATTTTTGGCATCATTGTACATTAAATATCTAGGAGAAAACTATACTTAAACACCTGTAGTAACGTTTTTATAAAAGTTTCAAAGAAGTTTTTACAAAAGCAAACGCTGTTTTAAGATGGTGAAAACAATAAACGGCATAATATCCTGAACGAGTATTTGTTAACACTTCAAAGGAACCCCCCCAAAATAAGAAGCACATCAAAATAGTTGGACATTATCAGGAAAGTGGTGGAGAATAGTTGAGCTTTAAGGATCAAGGTTCTTTATTTTGTCATACGAACATAGCTACGGTGTAGTAATGCCGATGAAATTCTTAGGTCACAGGCTTCTCCAACAGTGCAACACAATAACACAGATAAACAGAAACATATAGTGCAAGTAAATAGTAATATAGTAAATACAAAAGAAAAATAGTTAAAAAAAATACGGGAGTGTTGCTGTTATTATCCGGTTAAGAATTTTAGGAGTTTTAAGCCAGAAGAATTTAAAGTAGTACTACTTATGCTAATGACAAACTATTTTATGAAAACGTTTTTCCAAATGTTTTTCTTTAAACTGTGAGCAGGTCAGTGAAGTATGTTATGTCTTCGGGAGTGATTTTTGTGGATGTTAAACACAAGCTTAAAGGATAAGCAATACCAGCCGGTAGACCAAGGGAACGAGTGTGAGAATCTGGTAAATTACTGATCGGTTTTATAGACTTTATGAGCCCAGCTTACTCAGTTGTTCTGTTTATCTGACCACCTGAAAAAAGGAATACTGTCAACAAATAAATCGGACGACCCCAGGGCCATTACAGTGCGTTTCTACCCTTTTAAAAAAAAGATAAGAGACAAAGCAAAACGGACACCTTACATATCCACCCACGTAATTATTAACTGCCTGAGTTGCTGCAATAGTGACTTTGGCCACATCATTATAGTGGTTCCTCCATTGGTGGCGGTCCCGGACAATAAGTCACATCTGGAATTATGGACGACAAGACAGAGAAGCTCAACCTGAAGCGGGAAGTTGGGCTGGTGGGAGCCGTGTCCCTCATCGGTGGGACGATGATTGGATCTGGGATCTTCATGTCCCCACAGACGGTGCTCTCCACCATAGGCAGCCCTGGAGCCAGTTTGGTTGTGTGGGCATGCTGTGGCTTACTGGTTATAATGGCGTCTTTCTGCTACGCTGAGCTGGGCACTGTTATCAGAGAATCCGGGGGGGAGTACATCTACATCCTGAAAACCTCAGGCCCAGTCGTCGCCTTCATGCTAATCTTCAGCTCTGTGTTGTTTGTGAGACCTGCTGGTGTCGCCGGCATCTCACTGAGTTTTGCTCAATACGTCGTGGCTCCTTTCTACACAGACTGCCCCCCTCCGTTGCTGCTGGTGAAGGGCATGGCTGCAGTTTCAATATTAGTGCTTGCCACCGTGAACTGCCTTAATGTTCGCTTTGCAATGAAAATCCAAGTTTTTTTTATGGTGGCCAAGCTTCTGGCGCTGGTGGTCATCATAATAGGAGGGTTAGTGATGCTCATAAGAGGGCACACTGAAAACTTTGAAAACTCCTTCGAGAACACAAATTTGGGCCTCAATCCAATTGGGATTGCTTTCTACCAGGGACTGTGGTCCTATGATGGCTGGAACAACCTGAATTATGTAACTGAAGAGTTAAAACGTCCAGAGGTAAGTAAGTTAAAGGTTATATGGGGTTTTTGTGGAAGCGGTTAAACATTGAAGGATTAGAAGAAGATAAGGAACAATGTGCAATCTATTTAATTCATACACTGGCCGTCTCCCAAAATATCACCTTAAACCAATAAAGTAAGAAATGTTTTCTCAAGTGGTGTAATCAAGTGAAAGGGTGTGTTATAAAGTATGTTTATTACGCTTTTTTATTAAAGCCATGACAACACCCATTGTAGAATATACACCCCTTGTAAAAGTGGTTGTCAAATGTTGAGGTCACAAGTTTTACTTTTTTAGGGTTTGGTTTTGACATGCACACTGCTATTTAAAATAATAATAAAATACTGATATTTTGCCAAATTCCAAATAAAACATGTTTCATTTATAGCATTTATAGGCAGAAACTCCAAACTTTTCAATATAGAAAAAATATGCAATTGTTTCAGACTTTGAAAATGAAAAGCAAACAAAGTTTATGTATGGATTTTGATATAACACATTAGAACAGTGGTTCTCAAACTTTTTCTGTCAGGCCCCCCCTTTGGAGAAAAAAATAAGTCGGTCCCCCCCAACACAAATAGTCACGTAATGGACCAAGTTAACATTTATTAAAATACATCAATATGAACGTGTGCATTCCTTTGCTAGAACAGTGGTAATAAAACAATGCTCCATAAGTCTGTGTGGTCAAAAAAATAAATACATAATACAATTGTGCAATCCCTTTGCTAGAACAATAAGTTATAATACTTTGCCACTTTGCAATCTGTGCAAAAAAATGAAAAGAAAGAAAATGCTGATATTTGGCAGAAAAGTGTGTCTTATCATTAGTGGCTGCAATGAGCCCGTTTGGCGCTGCACATTTCTTCAAAATGGGGTTGCAGGCTCAGTGGCGGCGCCAGAGATTTATTGTGGGGGTGCTGTGGGGTAGCTTGACGCTTCATAGAGGGTGCTCAAACATTTAGGGTTTCCAATTAATGTACCGGTCGCTACAGTGGAATTTTCTACTTCAACAATCCCCGCGCAAATACACAGTAGCTACACCCGCGACAGTTACAATGAAGGCTCGATAATCAGCTCACGGCATGTAGGTGTAAGCAGGGGTAAAGTGCTTCTTTTTTTTAAGTGGGGAGTGGACCTAACATAGGAGGGTCCGGGGGCATGCTCCCCCGGGAAGATTTTTTTTTAAATATTGAAGTTAAAAGCATCAATCTGGTGCACTTTGAGAGCAAAATGAAGAGATCTATGGATACATCTCTCAACACCCATATGAAACAGAACTGTAAACAGATTTACTTTTTCTTTATGGATATTTTACAAATCACTCCCCTTTTCAACTTTATTCTTTTTTTACTGTCATATAGTATTTCATACCTGTTTTTCATTTGTTCTCTTATTTTTTTAAACTATAATGATCATATAAACGTGTGCCTCGGAAATAATTGTTTACATTAATCGTGACCAAAACGTTTGAGACCCGGCCACTATCTCGCTAGCACCAGATGCTAACAACAACGATCTCCGGTACCGGTGCGCTCTCTCTCTCTCGCTCGCGCACGCACACAAAATGGCTCGTTCCACACACACACACACAGAGCCGAGCTTTAATGAAACACAGAGACCCAGACGTACTTGTACTGTACTGTATCATATTGGTGGAACGTGATTCTGACGTGATTCAAGATGGCGCCTGTGTCGGCTCGCCGCTCCCTCAGCTCTCTGCCTTTAGCTATCCTGTTTTTGTTTTATGTTTGTCAGAATGTCTCTGCTCTGCTCGTTTACGATCGCCAAGCTCTCCTCCACCTCAGACCCTCACTGGAGTTGATATTGCTGCCCAAACCTACATCTGGCAACCATAAATCGTCCCCCCCCCCTCTACTGTCGAATATTCCCACCTACCTGTGCCGGTTGCCCTGCATCCTGCCTCGCCGAAAGCGCTTTAGACGACGGGCAAAGCGTGGTGGTGCACTGGTCCATCTTAAGGCATACCTGACGGCTTCTTCTGGGACTTATCCACGCCTCGGATGTCATGGCCCTCCCGCTGCACGCCATGTGAGGGATCGATGGATTCGCCCTGTTTTTCCGGAGCTGCGGACTCTGCTGGGCCCGCTGGCAGCTCCTCCTGCCCGACTGACTGCTCCCGGCCCGCGCGGCGTTCAACACGCACATCTTCGTCAGCTGAGACGCACTACACCTTCGGCAAGCCCGGAGCGAAAACTTTGCATGGCTTTGCTAAATGCTAGGTCGATAGCAAACAAAACGTTCCTGCTAAACGACTTCTTCACCTCTCGTGAACTGGATTTTATGTTTCTGACGGAGACCTGGGTCCACGCTGGCGAGTATACACCGTTCTCTGAACTTCTTCCTCCTGACTGTACATTCTTCAGCTCCCCCCGTGCCACCGGCCATGGTGGGGGCATAGCATCAGTGTTTAGAGCTAGCCTCCAATGCCGATTGCTTCACCCTGTAACTAGCTATGCTAGCTTTGAGTTGCAGCTTTTTGAACTGAACCCGGCCTCGCCTATACTCTGCGCCAGAGGTGTGGACTCGAGTCACATGACTTGGACTAGAGTCAGACTCGAGTCACCAATTTGATGACTTTGGACTCGACTTGACAAAATCACAAAACACTTGCGACTCGACTTGGACTTGAACACCAATGACTCGGGACTTGACTTGGACTTGAGCCTTCTGACTTGAGGTGACTTGATAATTTAATTCAGGGGTCTCCAACACGCCGATCGCGAGCTGCCGTTAGAAGAGCAGATTCCCGTTGGGGAGAGCAGAATCTTCAGCCGCTGCAACTCTTGCTGTGAATCCATGCAGGCAGGGGCGGGACTTTATTTTGCTGAGCCACAATGCGGCCAATCATATGCGAGGACACACTAGGATCATACCATTATGTGAAAGAAGGGTGGGGGGCAGACGCTCCAAAGACAGCAGGTGTAGTGGTACAGGCCAGCTACAGAGCCACGGGGAGACGGGGAGCCGGATTTAAATGCAAGCGCGTCGGAAAAAGTCAAGAAATTTGCGAAAACCGAAAAAATAAGCAGCATCTGGCTGCATTTCAATGATATTGGAGAAAGCAAAGCTGAGTGCAGGATTTGTCAAATGAAAATAACCTTCAGAGCAGGGTTTTTTTTTGGTAACCACTCAGGATTTATTGCCAGAGGTGGGAGAAGTTCAGATCTTGTACTTGAGTAAAAGTACCAGAGTGTAGGAATACTCGGTTACAATAAAAAGTCCTGCATTCAAAATGTTACTCAAGTAAAAGTAGAAAAGTATTATCATCAAAATATACTTAAAGTACCACCTGCAGAGGGATCTAGATTCAGGTTTTTTTCCGCATAAAGACCGCCTCGCTGCACATTATCCCTTGCATAAAGATAGGTTGTGGGTCCCTTATAACATGTTGTACACCGTGGAAATAAACATTCTGGTTACCCTAACATCAGGGATCTTATACATTAAA